GAACCATTGGTCTATGCTCTTACATATCTCCAAAATTCATGATTAAGCAATGTATTACATGTTTAAATTCTTGTAGGTTATAAATCTGATCTATGGTTGATTTATTTTTACCGAAAACTATAGTTTTTTTTAAATACAAAATAATTGGTCTACTAGTAACTGAATGGATAGAACCACAACCATTGGTCACAGGTTTATACCTGATCAATTGGCTGGCTGTGTGGCATTTTCTAGCTATTGTTCATACATCCAACACCTAAATAATGTTTCTCAGTCCTCCTACCAGGTTGATATTCCAATCTTTATTTTAGTGATTACCAATAGTGATGCAGAACAATGTTGTACCACAAACCATTCTAAATATTTTTATTTGTTGCACATACAAAAGGAAATGTTGCAAAACAATGTGACATGAGATAAAATTAAAGCCACAAATTAATTTCTAATTATGGAACTTTCACTAATAAAAAATAGAGTATTACTAAAAACTCATTGATTGACCTGTTGGCCACTTCACTAATATTGTAATAATAATGTATGTTGCAACCTTTGTGATTGTTTAAAATAATAATATGTCCACTATTTCTATAAAAATTTATTTTATGGCTTGCATAGAATGTGATATCATATGATCTCAAATGTCTAAATAGGCATAAAAGCTAATAATTGCGAAATTATCAAGAGTGTTCATTTGGCTAAAAGTAACACAAGTTATACAGTCAAGCTCCCAATTATCCAGGAAAAAAATCATCCAGTTCCATTTAAATCCTGTACACAATAAACTTGAAATTTGAAGCATTTAAGTATATTTTTAATAAATTAAAATATGATTTTCATACTAATTTTGAAACAAGATATTTTCTTAAAAAAATAAATAAATAACTGCAACGCTCCATTTGTAAATTTATATTGGAACACTACTATTAGTAGCGCCTTATGTGATACTTCAATGAGTGGCAAGAGTCGCTCAATAGTGGATCAAACAATCTTCAGAGGGAGTGCCGAAAGGAAATAATAGGTCTTACAAAAGTTTTACTACTAGAGATACTCGGGAAACATCATCGGAAGGTGTACAGCTGCGCTTTAGAAATCCCAAACCTCGCCTAGATTCATTTCTTATCTTTACTCTTCGGAACACCATTTCTTTTCTGGCCAATAACCTATAAAGCGAATAAGTCATACAGCAATTTGTGACTCTCCATAGGCGGTCCACAAATTGCCGAAATCGATAACACCATTGAATGCCGGTCGTAGAGTCGCGACTCGCTATTGGGCTATTAACAATGGACTGTTTACAGTTTTATTCATGTTTCTAATACATAATTAGAGGCCAGTTTCCTATAAAATTATCTCGTAAGTCCTCACATCCCCTTAACAGGAGAGATTTCCCATCTGTTGTATGGCTTTAGCCCATAAATCCAATTCATCCATAGACATTTTTGTCATCCCGGTTAATGCGATCCCAAATAATTGAGGGTGCTATATTTGGAAATCAGAAAACAATGGTATATTCAGAGATGAATTTTGTTATATATCATTCAGTGCATGTTTCGCTATCTTTCTTTTGTAATTTATCATGCGTGTTTTAATGGAAGAACAGACAATCCATTGTTTATCGGTATAAAAACTTTTTTAAACTAGTGTTATTTACTAAAACGAAATATTTGTCAAAATTATTACTTTTTTTAAAATATTATTTATTAATATAAAAGAAATTTTTATATTTGTTTAAAATTTAATTATAATTATAATAAATTTTTCTTCCCTAAAAATGAAAGTTGGCAGCACTGAATATAGAGTAATCTGGTGATCACGTTGGTTTTGATTGATGCACGATACGAGTTTCGAGTGAAAAGTAACTTGCTTCGTCGTAATTTATTCAGTTTAACAGATATTTCTTCTTCAGTTTATGTATTACACAATGAATTCGAAAACATTATCCTTTATTTTACTCATTTTGTCAATTGACATCTGTCGCATGAGCTGTTCTAGTAAACATTGCAATAAATATTTCGAAAATTGTGAAGAAAACAAAGAAGATCTTGTTGATCCTTATGCCATGTTTGACCCAGAAATCGATGTTAACGAGAAGAAATCGGAAGAAAATAAGCAGGAAAAGGCTAAGGTTTTGATGAAGCAAATTTCTGCTGATTCAAATGATTCACAGTGTAGTTGTAAAGAATTAGCTAATTGCCAGAAATATGGGAGCAGCAAACAAACAGTTATTTCACAGAATGAGTTTCTATATCTGAAGCGAAGTGTTAAGAAATTGGCCAGTAAGTTTCTGTCGTTAGGTGGTGAAGTGTCGGGTTCCATACATGTGGATTTAACCATTAAAAATAGTGATATAACTACCATGAAATTATTTATCAAAAACCCTTCCAATAAAATCCAGGATCTAGACAATGTCTTGTCTGAAATGATAAATGGTGCTGTCGTATTTAAACCAGAAGAATATCAGTCTACAAACAATGTTTACGTTTATTTGCAGTACGTCGGTGCAGTAGTAGTTATTGTAGTGTGTTCAGTTATCTGGTTTATCAAGCCTCGCTTAACGTTGAGAAGCGTTATTTCTACTGTTTCGGTATTTGTTATTCTTCTTGATATAATATGGAATTGGATATATTTAGTGAAGAAAGAGTATTCTGATTTGTATTCAGAAATGGATAAAAAGAGCTTGCCCGATTCTTGTCATCCCGAAAAGTTAACATGGGGAAGTTACCTTAGTTTATGGTTTTCTAATGATTATTCTTTCAGTGTTCAGTGTAAAAAGTATTACGAAAGTATTCATGTGTCGCCAGAGTTAAAGGTATCACCGATGAAGGCTGTGACGGAAACATTTAAGCATATAGTATTATATCCACTACAGTTTTTGGGAGAATATATTGGATTATTCTATCAAAGATTATTCAGTCAGTTATCATGGTTTTTAATGGTACCTGTGAGCATTATCATTACGTTACTTATGTTCTTGTTGTTAATAATGTTGTTTGGATATCGGATACGCTTTCCATTTTTTCTCGGAGGATTAGAACCGGCGTCTGATTCGAGGCGCACGAGGGAGTCAGATAATAATGAAAAGCATTTGATGTTGGAAATTTTAAAAGGTAAATATCATCTGATAAAATCAGATTCTATCAAATCTATATCAATACAGTCAACAAGTGAATCTGAGAATGAACATCAGAGATTATGTGATTCAGAAAGAAGCACAGTAACAATTACAGAGTTGGAAGAAGAACCTTCGCTTTCCATTTCTAAGAGGAATGTGTTACCTAAAGGTTTGACAAGTAAAAGCATTTGTGAACATAAAGGATTATGTGAGAAATCTGAAGAAGATTCAAGGAAATTTATAGAAGATGAATTAGAAAATGAAGCATCTGAAAATAAAAACTAATTTAAAATTAATTAAATTAGTCATTTATGCATTTTGGAGTCTCTTGAACAAAGATTTTATGATAGTTTATCTGTTTTGAAAATTTTTGAGTGTTTTATGGATCTGTTTATTAAACAAATATGAAAGCAGTCTTATGCATCTATTAGCAAATTAATTTGAATCTTGTACAAGAACTAGAAAGGTTGAAATTACAGTCATTTGACAAAAAGTTTTTATATATTTGTAAAATGGAAAATTTAAATATATACTTTTTTACTAGATATAAAAATATAGATAAAACATAATTGCAGATAACAAAACTTTTATATTTACTAGAAAAATTATATTAATAGCTTTTATATGAGACAGATTGAGTAAAATAATGAGATTAATTCAAGTTTTAACAGCTATTGTATTAAAATGTATAAAAATTAAAAGATAAAGCTTCTTCAAAATTTAAAATATAAAAAGAATTGAAATTAAGCATGGTTTAATGCAGAAATATGAAATAATTGGAGGCACATAGTCAAATCTGATGAAACATAACTTGAGGAATCAGAGTACATTTCAGTATGCATCAATAAGTAAGTGCCCATCAGTGAATTGTATTGTTCTAAAGTATGCTCTGATATTCACTGACAAGTTCATTGCTACAGCAACTGATGCACATTGTACTTGTCAAGCTGGATATGGTAACCTCAAGTGAAGCAATATGGCCTTCTTCATAGACATAGTATTATTAACACCAGTTTTGCTACTTGTGTTAAATAAAACGATTTTGACAAAATAAGCCTGCAAATGCCAGTTTAGTGTTGTTTTCTTCTGTCTTGTTCAGTTGTCAGATATTCTGGTAAAAGCTTTTTAAACCATTTGCCAGTGCATTGGTTGTGGATGAAACTGATATATACCAGAATGTACCCAGAGTCATTACACTGAGCTTCTCTCACAGAAATAAAATAGCAAATTTTTTAATTTTCTGGCATTCCCTTCTATATCTTAAGTTAAACTTCTATAGATAAAAATAAATTTTTAAAATATTAAATGTAATTTAGGCCCTACTTGATTTAAACAATGATTTATATGTACTTAGAGATAGTTACATTCTATTTATTTTTTAAACTCTAGTCTTTTGCTTTACATCTCAATTTGTAATATATTTTATAGTCAAAATAACATATTTTTAATATATTGAAGTTTATTCTTGTTTAATTTGTTGAACATTTCATTTCGTACATATGTTGCATTAAATATTAATTGTATAGAATTCCATGTAAATATTTTTTGTATTGTAGAAATTATTTTGTTTAAACAAAAATAAAAGAATTATATATATTTCAAAATAATTTGTTTTTAATGTAAATTAAATATTATAATTTAAGCATTGCTAGATGTAGTTTATGGATTATTAAAATTTGAAAGTGTAATCAATCAAAGATCAATAATTTTAATGCAATTGATTAATAAATTCTGCACAAATTCGGAATGAACCTCACATGATAAATAAAATTAAATGGGTAAGGTAAATGTGAGAACCCATTTCTGATCTCTCTTACTTAAATTGGACAAAACTGCCCTTCCGTAAAGACTTAATGCACTGGTGCCTCATTAATTTATGAATAACAAAAAGTTATTTTCATTAATCTTGAGTCAATGAAAGTTTCCATGCAAGAGATGATGTCACAATACACTTTACATTAATTCATTTTTGTGTGTGTGTGTTACTTGCAGAAATCTTGGGCAGGCAGTCTGTTCTTTTACCCTGCAGTCACCCGGATCAAATGTCTACCATTCGAATATATCTATCAGAAAATTAAGATAATTTAGCCAAATATATCATACATTAAATTAACTTCATATTGCATTCTGACAGGATCTGACAGTAGGTACCATCAAGAACTTGTCCGAGGCATGCAATAACACAAAAAAGTTAACTTGCTAATGTCTGATATAAATTGCAAGATGATAAATAAAATCCTATTATGAGATTGTTATTTTTCATTTGTCAGTCATTTTCAAGCCACCTAAATTTAGCTTTGCACTGTGTTAATTTGATTTGTACTTTAAAAAGCTGTTTTTTTTTTTTTTAACCCATAAAGGGCTTGCTAAAAGAGGCCCTTTTAGCAAGCCCATTATGGGTTCGGCCGGGCCCGAAATGGGGCGGCCGGGTGCAAAAAGACGGAGCCGATATATCCAGTCGGATCACCCCCCGAAAAATTCCTGGGAATTTTTCGACCCGTCCGGATTCGATTTCGGATCCACAGGGCGGTAGCCTGTCACCTTAACTGCTCGACTATCCGGCCAAAAAAAAAAAATCAGTTTAATTAATGACTGATACAATTCAAGTTTAAGCGCTGTAATATATATTTAATTTGAAAAAAAAATATAATAAATAAAAAACAAAATGATCATGTTTTAAAATTATTTTAAAATATTTTATATAAGATAATACAAATTAAAAATCACACATGAAGTAAAGAACTGTTTAAAAAGTTTTAATTATAATTTTATTATTTCTTAGCACCAGGAGGATTATGTCGTAAAGAAGATGGCGGCTTCCGTCTTTTAAATTGTTTCGTGTAAGGTAATGTAAGTGAAATTGGAAATGAATTCTTCAATTCTTCGTACTTTCTTTACGAATAAAAGTAATTGGATTCGCATTTTGGTATGTTTTTTAATGAGAAAATAATAATGTAGGAATCATGTAGTTTTAAGTTAGTTTATTTATTTATTTATTTCTTTTATAAAAAGACGTAGTATGCACGTGGATAAGATGTTGCTCCTATGGACAGAGGGGTTTGCCACTCCTGAGAATTTTAGGTTCAAGTACGAGCAAAAAAGGGTAAAACTGTAGTTCTGAATGAGGATTTTGGACCCCAAATTTTAGACTCTAGAAGAACAAGAAGTCAAAGGAACCAGATATTTAATTGTGACCCTTGTTAATATATTTGCCTCCAAAGTGATTTGGCTGCTTGTTAATTAAATATTCATTGGGTTCAAGGAGCACACAATGTGACTCCAATCATGCCCAAAAAAATACTGGGTGCAACAGCATTTCTCATGTTTTCAGCTTTTAGCTGTCTTTAGAAGAGTGGAAAACAGTTGATTTTCAGCATTGTCTTGAGAAATAGTTTGAGATTTTTTCCCTTTTAAATTTTATCCTATTTTTGATTGTCTTCAAAAAAATGGGATTCCTTTGACTTTTTTACTCATACAGGCATGGTCTACAGCTGTGATAAAATCCCTATTGAGCTGCATTTGTACCAAACAGTTGACCTTAGTATGCAACAGTTTCTCTGTTCTGAACCAGACCAATCTTTTATTCATATGGAGCTTCTAGCCACTCGGTCGTGTCCTCTCGATTGGGAAACGTAACTTATCAGATTTAAGTCTGGTTCACAATATTACAGATTTTACTACAGCAAGTGATAATAACATGACATACATGTCTTGAATGTAGTATCATTTCAGAATAGAAAGACTGGTTTGATTTTTGCTACAACAGCAAGCAAGAAGTTGAGCACAGTGGAAGATCCAGAAGAACTTAATGGGGGCCTAATTCAAAAATATTTAAATAATTATAAGTACTTTTTATTAACATATGCAACGCAGTTATATTGCAGATGGTCCAATAAACTTTATTTACTATCATAAATGTTTTTAAAAAGTTTGAACAAACAAATTTTAATTTGATTTTTTTCGGGCAATGAGGAGGATCCCTGTGGATTCACCCTTGTTTGAGTGTGTACAAACAAACATTTAAAAACTTACTCTTTTCCTTAGTAACATTCGAATTGTCAATGTTAATCAATTAAAATAGTATATTGTATATAACTTATTTATTTTGTATCTGCTCAGTCTACTATATTCTGTTACTATACAAACTACACTATAAGCTATTCTAAAGTACTGTATACTGTATATTATAATTTATAAACTAGACAAAAAACGGGAGATTAATTTGAATAAATTTGATTTTTTTAGCCCTATTCAATAAGTGCGAATGAAAAGGTATGCATTAGAAATTCTAAATTTATACACTTTTTAATCATTTTGAGCTATATTGATCTCATTTTTTTTAAATGTAAAGCCAAAATATGAGCAGAAACCTGATACATTATACAAGACTGTAGAAGTTGAAGTTAGAGGTCACGAACCGGCCGTACTTAACAGTTACCAATGGTTTGCTACTTTTGCTGCTAATGAACTTGGAATAAAAATTGGGAGAGTGTAAGTAATTATGTTTAATATTATAGTTTACTTATTGTAATTAAACAGTTTATTTATTGTTATAATGAATTTATCTAAGGTAGCAGTTTACGACTGATTTTAATTGCAAAATCTTTTTCATTAATAAATTTTGGAACACTGACAACTTTTATTGATTAAAGGTAAAACAACAAATAAAAAATAATTTATTGAACGTAGAAAAAACCAGAAACTAGTAGATTATTAATGGAAAAAACTCAAACTTTTAGTTAATGCAAATAATTAAATTTTCTTTTGAATAATTTCTGGAAACTTGGTTTAATTGTGGACAGTTGAATTTTGATAAAAATTGCAGCATCCAGCTTATTGCAATTGTAGAGTGAAAATCTGCTTTTACACAAATATTTGATAACAAACAATGAATTGCCTTTTTGAAATAAATTTGAATTTTCTTCTTTTAAGTTATACTAAAACTTGCCAAATGAAACTTTATTAAATTTGATGTTTACTTAACTGTTTGACGTCAGATCAATGTGATTTTCATATTCTGAATTAAATAGATTCTCTGATTTTTCTTTCAGATTGAAAGGGTTGAAAATCCAATAGTTAATGTCATCGTTTAGTACAGGAAAGCATTTCTTTAATGTCACGGTTATCGTTTTCAGATGAGAAATAATTTGTTTTTGAATTTCCTTGACAATTTTACAGTTTGGTTCCTGTAAAAAGTCATTTAAAGTTGGAAATGGTTCCACATTTTTTTTACAGTCATGATCCAATATTGTAACTTTCAAAATAGTAGTCAGAATATCTTTTGC